CACAAGTATCTGTACTTTTACTCAAGTACGGAAAGTGAGTACTTTTGCCATCTCTGATCATGACTGAGCGCTAGCTCTCCATCACACACACAACCAGGTTTGCTCATTGACCCACCTGCAGCTCAGACTCTGCCTTCACCAACTCCTGGGCCTTCTGGACTCGGCCTTGGATGTATTGATATTCCTCCTGGTCCTCAGGATCCTCGTCATGGTTGACATCTTGTGAGAACATGAGGTCGTGGTCAGAGATTCCAAACATGTGCATAGCGTGTAGATGAGCGATGTGCTCGTCCAATGCCGGGTCGGTCCGTCTGTGTCTGGAGTGAAGCGCCTGCAGCTGAAGCTGGGTGGTTGAAGATCTCGGGTCCTCCAGGGTAAAGAGCTCCTTCAGTTCTTGGCGACTGAAGTACCTGAAGGGGTTCTTTTTGTCCCCGGTGTTCTGCCTGATCAGGGAGTCTTTGAAAACCTGTCGCCTGTAGATCTTCTCCTCCACCGTTCCACAGGTTATCAGTCTGTAGATCACTACATTTTCTTTCTGACCGATGCGGTACGCTCTGTCCACAGCCTGAGCGTCCGTGGCTGGGTTCCAGCTGGGGTCGTAGATGACGACTCTGTTAGCTGCCGTCAGGGTGATGCCCACTCCTCCCACCTGAGTGGTGAGGAGAAACACGGAGTAACGTTTGTCTTTTTGAAAGCGAGAGATCAGTTTTTCTCGTTCTGTGATCTGCGTGATGGTTCCATCCAGTCTCAGGACTTTGAAACCTCTGTTGCCAAGGATCCGTTCGAGGATGTCCAGGACCACCCGATAGTGAGCAAAGACCAGCGTTCGGTGGCCTTCTTCTCTGAGCTGCTCCAGAAGAGCCAACAGAAACACTAGTTTCCCAGACTCTGATATTAAAGTTTCATCTGAAACGTTTGCGATGTTGTGAGCATCACCCTCGCCGTTTTCAGCCTCTGGGTTTTCTTCCAGACCCAACTTTGCAATGGCGTTGGCAGAAAGCAGTCTTGGATGGTCACACAACTTTTTTAGAATGGTTAGCTCAGCTAGCGGAGATCTGGTGGTCATTAGCAGCTCCTTGATGTGGTCTAGACCAATAAACTGCCTGTAGATGTCCTCCTGAACTGCACTTAGGTAGGTCCAGACAACCAGGTCGTTTTTCCGAGTCAGCTTGGGCATCACTGCTCCAGAAGTTGGCGGATTTTTATTGTCTTCCTGGTTGTTTGATTCAGAGTTGGCCTCTTTTTCACCAGCCTTCTTCTTCTGCACTTCTGATTTGGTTCTACGAAGGAAGTAAGGTTTGATTAGGGTCATGAGGTTCTCAGAAATCCTGGAACCAAGAGCTTTTTCTCCAGGAGTAGCATCCTTCTCCCTGGCACGGGTGATGGGGTTTTCATACTCTGTTTTGAAAGTCTTGGCTGTTCCCAGTAAAGATCCCTGACAGGCAAAGTCAAAGAGCGTCCACATTTCCCGGAGGTTGTTCTGCACCGGCGTTCCCGTCAGGAGGATCCTGTTCTTGGACGGAATGGCGTAAGCACTTTTGGCCGTTTTGGTGGAAGGGTTTTTAATCTTGTGTGCCTCATCCAGGATCATGTAGTCCCAACAGAACTCCTTCCCTCGATACGAGGCTAGCTGTTGCCAGTTGCTCATCAACATGGTGTAGCTGGTGATGATGACCCCTCCTCTGCTCTGGACCTTCTCCAGGTTCCTGGTCCGCTCTGCTTTACTGCTGCCATAAAAGGCCTTCACCCTCATACCTGGAGTCCATTTGCCAAACTCCCTGACCCAGTTTGTGATGAGTGATGTTGGCATTACTAGCAGTGTGTGTTTTATCAGCTCGTTGTCATACATGCCGGAGAGGAATGAAATGATCTGGATGGTTTTTCCGAGCCCCATGTCATCAGCCAGAACTCCTCCTTTGAGACGGTCCCTGTAGAGGCTGTAGAGGAAGGAAACGCCGTCTCTCTGATAGTCATACAGGTTGTCGTGTAGTTCTTTAAACAGCATTAAGCCGCTGTTGTTCACATTGATGAACTCATCTTCATCCTCCAAGTTGTTCTCAGCTAGAATTTCTTCAATTTTCTTTATCCTGTTCTCCAGTTTGGGGGTTTGGTGAATGTTGAACGCCTGTTTGAACAGCTTCAACGCTTGTTCAATGTCTCCCTGCTTGGCGGAAGCTTTCGCTTTTGAAATTAACCTGAAAGATAAAGAGCAGAACATCAGTTGGATCTGCTTTAGTCCAGAATAAACCAGCAGTAGATCAGGCCCTCCAGATTCCTGATCTACTACCACTTTAACGGGTGTTTAGTGCAGGGACTGAGGGTGAGGTACTTTATGAACCTCTGAGGTGACCTCTGTACTGGCGATCTCAGTAGCAGATGAGAGATTGAGCTCCCTGTAATAATCTGCTGAATGGTCGCCCAGCCCCAGCAGACAAACAAAATTACCTTAAACTAGGGATGGGTCCAGCAACACAGACCCATCGGCACATGAGTTCAGCTCATAGAGGTCTGTATCGCTACAAGAATGCCGCATGACCGATACAGGAGCTTTTTCTATCTGACTCTAAGGTACTAACATTGTTTGCTAGGAGGCATTTCTGACAAATGTATCCTTGATCTTCTGCAGTTCATGATCTTTTGTCGGCGTGCCTTTGTCCCCTGACTCCTGATCTTTTCTTTGTATTATTTTAATTTTAACATTCGTCACAAGGACTATTGACTCAATGTTGATGTATAATTGCCTGGAGTTGCTAAATATTTTAGAAAAATGGGCGATCATGCGTCTTTTTCCTTACTGATCAACCTGACTAAAACTTGCGCTGCAAGGGGGATTGTTGCAAGATCTGAGTTTTCAGTCTAAGAACAATCCATCGCGATAGACTCCCGCCAATACGTCCGTCTCGTAACAACCAGCAAGTCAGACCAATGACGTGCCAGCAGTGTTTGTTGGGAAGGAACATGTAGGGATAACGGCAGTCAGAATGGCCTTGCTTGGGTATTGCAAACATGGCTACGCTGGAGGACTCACCTGTCGATACCGCAATTGACTTGGTTTAAGATTTATCCTCTCACAAGTTGTAACCCATGTCCTTCAATAGTCCTAGCAAAGTTTTTCCATTAGAGGGTTGACGATATTCAAAAATCTACTTTATGTTGCTTAAGATGCCTTTTATGCACAGGTGTGTCTTGCAAATCCTACAAAACTCATTGCATGATTACATGAGGACTTCACCGTAAACATCCAACAATGGTCTACATGTCAGTGAACACGTCCCACCTGGGAGGAGAGTGTTGGCCTAGTGGTCAGAGGAGTGCGTTTGAGTTCTGAGAAGGTTGCAAGTACCTGGTTCGATCCCCACAGACTGCTACTTGAGACCCCCCAAGCAAGACCCTTAACCCCACACCGCCCCCCAAGGGAATGGGTTAAATGTGCAGAGTGTTAGTTTCCCCATTGTGAGATCAATAAATCAGTTTAGATCAATTTATATCCTTTCTACTCGTCATATGTGGCGCACGTCTGAAACAACAATTCACTGCTATGATTGGCTGAAAGCGTATTATGGAAGGTGGGTACTAGCTGGCACGTCACTCAATCAGCTCAAAGTATTGTACTAAACGTCCCTCCTTTTCATGGACAGACTGAACAGCAGCCATCTTTGATTGATAACAGAACTCCAATCAGTTCTACACACATCAATCTGGCTACTTCCAGTTTATACCCGACTGCCTTCTTAAGGTAAGTGCGCCCCTGCTAAAAATGAGTGAATGGTGATGAAAGCGAGCAGGCCGAATTACAGACTGGATTACAGGGATTCTTTTAGCCGCTTTATTTCCCAACGTCTTCTGGCTCCAGTGGGCATTTGGTTAGGGTCCACTATCCGACAGCTGGAAGATCTCTGAGCCCTCCTTTCCAGATCTCAGGTGGGGTGGGACTTCTTCACGTTGCGCTGTTGGGATGTATTGTTTTTATGTGAAACTTGGGTCAACGGCTGTGAGTCCTCTGCTTTTTCAGAGCTGCTACCTCTGGACTGTACTTTTATAAATACACCAAGAACCACTGGTCGGGGTGGAGGTAGAGCGGTTGTTCTGAGGAACTGTGTGAATCACAGTGATATCTGATTGCTGTTGAACTAGGCTGTTTAGAGCTGCGATGGACTGCCTCAGTACCATGTGTTGTTGTTTAGACCGCCGAAATACAACAAAGACTTTATTGATGACTTTTCTAACTTTGTTGCTTTTATGTTGCCACACTATGACAAGATTTTAATTGTTGGCGATTTTAATATTCACGTCCGCTGTTCGTCAAAACCTTTGGCCAGAGAGTTTTTAATGTGGTTGTATGGTTATTCTGTTTTAAAACTATTTGAGCATAGGAAGTGTGAATTTGAAGTTGCAGAGAGTTGCAGAAGTTTTGTATTTGTAGAAGTTAAAAATAAAAAAAAAATTCACAAGTACAATTTTTTTTTTTTAAACCTGTTCAAATTGTAAGTACGAGTACATATATTCACATCAGAAACCTCTTACGTTCTCAGTTTTGCTTCAAATGGTTTAGAACTATTGTTGCAAAATTATGTGTTCATTGTAACTTTGGTGTTTTGTATCTGTAAATTTTTTTAATCTGTCACAATTACAAAAAACTTACACCTTTTCAAATTCTTGAGTGCAAGTACACAAACTGTTCAGTGAGTTGCACATCAAAAATGTCTTCCATTCAGTTTTGCTACAGTTGATCTAAAACAAACGCAGCCAAACTAATTCAAACACGTGTATTAAAATCTTTAAAAAAAAAAAAAAAAATTTCTTTAACACAAATACTAATCAATGAATACAACTGCACCAATCTGCTGCTGTGAGTCACAATTTCTACTTTACAAGTTACGCCTTCATTTTCACTTTTGACACAAATATCTCACCAGTAAAAGTGATCTGTGAGTTGTGGGTAGTACCCTTGATCGGACAGCAGAGGGCGCTGTCACTTATAACCGTGACAGTTGGATGGTTTTGTGAGATAAGTAAAGTTCAATTTCTATCTTTTTCTTATCTTTTATATTATTTGTGCTTTAATTCTTGCAGGTTTGTTCCATTTTAATTTTCAGTGTCCTGTGAGTCTGTCTGTCACTGGGTTGGCTGACCTGATTAATCGATTATTTATATGTTGTGCCATGATCATGTTTTTTGGACATTGGGAACCAGTGTCCATATTTCAAAGACACAAAGAGGACCCTGCTGTGAGACACTGAGACCAAAGAGAGCCTGACCTGACTGCTGCGCTGCTGCTGGATGAAAACTCAAACCTTCAAATGGACAAAAGATTTGCAGGTCTGGCATGATTAGGGACAGAACAAACAAAATGTCTTTGGATGATTTTGATCATTTCATGTGTTTACTGATGTATAAAGACAAAGCTAACAGGATGGACTGCATGCTATGCTATGCTACAGGAACATGTGTTGAGCTGTTGCTGAAGCTTTATTCACTAAGGATTTAAACACTGATATAACATCAGTGTTCATGTGTTCCTCAGATGCTCATTACATTTCCATTACCAAGTCTGACCAAGAGTCATTTAGTGGAATCCTGATGTCTATTCGCTGCTAGCTATTTCAAAGAGGGTAAAGAATCATTTAACTAAAGGTTATTGGTTCTTGATTAAGCAAATCATTTAATAAAACATTATTTGGCCAAATAATGTTTTATTCACCTCATGGATTTGCATTGTGAATTGGTCTGAAAACATTCCAATTTCTTTAAAATTAGTGAAAAGCTAATTTGATCAGATCCCAAACTCTTCCAGATAAACTTTGGTTTCAAACACAGAATCCATCTTAAACTGTAATATGTTTTTCAACCGTTTCCCCCTTCCTCTTTGTACATAGTAGTTAGTTTAGTTTAGTTGAGTTTTACTAGTCTTAGTTGAGAGTGTTAAACTGAAATATGTTTGACGTGGAGCTGAATGATTTTTGTTAATAAACTCTTATATTTTGAACAGAAGTTGTGGTGAATTTATTCCATTAATGTGCAGAAATATCTGTTTGACCATGATTAGTGCTCGAATCACTCTTTCATCTATTGTTCTAACACACAGTTAGTAGGACTGTGTGTCATAAACAATATACAGTATAACAGCTGAAATAATATCGGATTAAATAAGATATTTTACCACCCCTACAGGGGAGGGCAATAAACATCTTAAAGTATCAGAAACATAAATTCCCAGCAGGCTGGGAATAGAAAAGAATATAGAATCACGACAGATATAATTGTTAACTAATTTAGCAATCGATAAATGGTTTACTGGAGTATAGAGACTCTAAAAAAAACAAAAGATATGTGTTCATTTTACCCTAACTGGGAGTCATGGTCCTCTGAGAAGCACAGCTTTATTTTTAACTAATAAAGAAAAACAACATTTAAACTCTGTTTTCTAAAGCTTCTTACATTACATTATACTTCTATAAACATAATCTGTTGCCATTTTAGCTGAAAAAGCTCTGCAGGCCTAACAAACGGATTTTTCGGTGGGATCTCTAATTTTTTAACCAACCCGTCCCCTAACCGGTTGAATTACCCGAGTGCTGCTGTGTGTCTCCTTCAACCATATAGCTACTCAGTGGAAAGAAAAACACTGACTCCAAACGCTCTGAACACAGACAGCTGCAGCAGTTACTGCTGGCTGAAGGAAATGAGCGGAAAGAGGAAATTAATGGTGGGAACATGTCCAGACCAGTCTTTCAGAAAGTGTCTAAATATAATAATAGCTGCAGGAACAAAACATTTCTGGAAAACATTCAAAACAGTTAGTCTGCATTTAGTTTTTTTAAAGAAGAAAAGTGTAGAACTTTAACGTGGGACACGAAGGATCTTTACCTCCTGTAGTTTTCCAGGTCATCTTCTGCGTCCAGGGACATGGATCTGCAAAAACAGAGCAGGTCAGAAGAGCTGCAGCACAGAGATCACATCCACACCTTTATCACGTGGCGACCAATCAAACAACTTTGTTTTTTAAATATTATCATTATTCTATGTTATTAAACTACCTGAAACCGACTCTAATAGAATATTTATTATTTACTTTATTTACCATTTATTTATTTACAGTTTTTAACGTTTTATCTACATAAGTTCAGCTTTAAAGGTTAAAATCAAACTGCACTTCTATATAAGGACGTGCAGAAACTGGCCTGTTTCCAGGTATTAACTGGAGGAGATGACTCACACCAGCAGCTAACTGGAGTCACAGGTTCTACTTCCTGGTTTACTCTGTTAGCAACGTGTAACACCTGTTTTATGCAGGTAGAAATTAAATTAATACAGTTTGGTTTGAGCTAAAATCACACTTTCTAAAAATTAATGAGCTACCTTATAAATGTATATTTAAAAAGTTGTTTTTTAGAGTTTGACTAAAGGCCTGTTTAGATGGAGATAATCAACAGCCTGCAAATAACACTTATCTTCTCCCAAAGGAGCCAATTATTAAGCATTTCTGGTACATTTTATTATAAATATGTAACTAATGTCATTCACAACGTTGGGGTCAGTCTGATGTGGTGCCAGTAAGTTAGCAGCTCCATGCCAGGGGCAGCTAGCTCCCTCCATCATGCCAGGGGCAGCTAGCTCTGATGCTAACTAAAGCTGTTATAAAAAGTGTTTCAAGCCGCTTCACTTACTTTTGCAGCCTCTCTGAAATCTCCGACATCTCCTCTGTGATGTGATTTCCTTCCATGTTGAGGATTTATTGCAAATAAAATGTTTTCAAGAAACACAAACGCGGACTGTGGGGAAAAACCCGAACGAGAAACTTTCTGTTTTTATGTTTCAAACCGGAAAACTTCCCCCCCGCCAATTCAGTACAGCCAATCAGAGGGGACGCTGCAGTGACGTTCTTCTTTCTTTCTTTTGTTTTTTATTGGCGGATGGCAACCAACTAAAGGTGCATTTACCGCCACCTACCGAACTGGAGTTTGGTCAACAATGATGTAAGACTTTTTTTTTATCAAGTCAAAAACATTTACATGAAAAAATACTCTCAGAGAGGACAGCCAAGGTGTATATGAACAGATAAAGATCAATTACAATAAAATAAAATAAAAACAAAAAAGTAAAACAACTAACGGGATTTATCTCAGCAAACATTTAAATCAAACATAGACAGAGCCATAGAAATAATAGAAACAAAAGGTGAATGCACTTAGAAGTCTCAATTTTTTTGGCATATTTTTAATTTTTTATCTTTTTAAGAGAAGAAAAATAGGTTTTTAAGTTATTAATAAACCAATGAAAGGAAGGTTTAGAATTTCTCCATTTAGCAGAGTGGATGTGATATTTACCCAACAGCAGGAGGACATTAATAGTATCAGAAACAGGCTGGGGAAGATGGTCCATATAAAAAATCACATCATTTAGTGCAAATGGTGGAACATCATACATTTTTAAAGAAATCCAATCTTTCAACTCTTTCCAGAAGCGGTGTGTAGTAGGACAGAGGTTAAACATATGTTCAACGATTTCACTATTATTATTACAAAAAGAACATTGATCCACCTCAAAACCAAATCTTTTCCTTAAAAATTCTGCCACAGGATAAATAAAAAAATGAATAAACAAAGAACATTATCTTTGCCTTCTCTCTTGCCCATGAAGCTGGGGTCCACTTCAGCAGGATCTCCAACAAAGATGGAGATCCTGGCCCAAGACGATCCCAATCTCCAGAATCATGAGGGAAAAGTCATTATGGT